CCTCATCGATGACAAGAATTATGAATATACACATGCAAGTAGCTATTGAAATTTAATATAATTGTCAGATAAAATGAAATTTAGAAAATAATTGACAATTGGAAGGAAGCATCTAGATCACACACAAATGACCTAATTATATCGTCATTCGCCACAATAATCACAAACAATTCGTACTGTGTTGTCATCTCTTCATATTAAGCAATGTAGCATATGAGATGAAAAACGTTGACATTAAAATTCTAAGTCCTTAAAATGTAAATGATGTATATATAAAAAGTCCTAATTAAAATATTATAATGGAACTAAAAAAATTATGAACGTCCGCTTGATTCTAAAAAAAAAAAAATAAACATCTATAGAATGTAGTTTCTATTATTATCCTTATAATATATATTTTGTATCCAAATCTTCGGCAAAATCCATGACTAAAATTATCTGGTCTTGACTTGTGCTATTCATTTGATAAGAAGATTGGTGATAAAAGAAAGAACTGTGATTAATTGGCATCGTTATAGACAGATTTTAAAATTATGAGAAATTAATCTAAACATTCTTACCTAACAATTTTTGTCACACTGAATTGAACATCAAAAACCCAACTTGTATGACCGTTTTTGAAATCTAACAGTTGCTTCCCGGTCTTGAGGTCCCAAACCTTAACTGTCTGATCGTAGCTCCCGCTCACAATTTTATCATCGTCAAAATGAAGTGTTCTTACTAAATCGGTATGTCCTTCTAACGTGCGAATGCACTGAGCCGTTTCCACATCCCAAATTTTTATTGTTTTATCATTTGAACCTGAGACGACCCATTTACCGTCAAATTGGACACATGCCAATCCGCGAGTGTGACCGACAAAATCTCTAATACATCTACCCGTCTCTAAATCCCAAAGTTTGATGAGTGCGTCACCAGACGCTGAAATGATTCTATTATTATGAAGTTGAACGGCATTAACAGGACCACGATGTCCTATTAATGTACGTAGACATATTCCAGTATAAATATCCCAGACTTTAATTGTGCTATCTTTTGAGCAAGATACTATGTGAAGTCCATCAAAACAAATGTCCAAAACACCGGCGGAGTGACCAGCAAGACGTCGTATTTGAGGCACTGTATGATAATAGTTTTGCATATCCCAAATTATAATGGTAGTATCGCTAGATCCAGAAACCATGATGTTATCATCATATTGTAAACATAAAACTGACAAATCATGACCATGTAATGTTTGGAAACAGTTTCCTGTATTAATGTCCCAGAATTTAATTGTCTTATCGCGAGATCCAGTGACAATCTTACGTTTATCGAACTGTATGCAATAAACGCTGTCTGCGTGACCCTTGAGATATCTTTTTTCGCATTCCCCTTTTTTCCACCGCATTGCAAGAGTATGACGAATTTTATACAAATTTTTCCAATCCACTTCTCCCGCAAGAGTCACTTCTCTTGGTATAGAGGTTTTCCACCCATCATTCATTCCATACATGCCGCGCCAGAGTTCGTTGTCCCGAGAAATGCGATACCAAGCTCGAGATACACGCGACATTCGACATAATGTTTGAAAATCAACGAACATAAGTATATACGCCGCGATTTCGTATGGGAGGTTGATAAGGAAATCTAACCAGAATTTGAACAAAGTATAAATATTAAACATGTAATTTTTGTGATATTATATATTAAGTTTTTTAATTATCCATTATCTTAGGTTGAAATGTTTAATATAATATACTGCGAAATCCCATTAACTAAAGAATGAATATAGAAATCTTGCTCTTAATAAAACAATATTTTGAGCAAGTCAAACAGGAAATTCACCTATCCTAGTGGTCAAATCTTCGACGGTGTAAAACCCTTCATCTTCAACTTCAATGGCGTTGGAAAATTGAAACTTCGTAGGCGACAGAGCAGATAACTGTCTTCTGGATA